TTCCTTATATGCTTTAGCCTCTAGTCCCCTAATCATCTTTGTTGCTCTTCTCTGTACTCTTTCCAAAGTCTCAACATCTTTTTTACATCGCGGTGACCAAAACTGGATGCAGTATTCCAAGTGTGGCCTTACCAAGGTATTGTAAAGTGGTATTAACACTTCACGTGATCTTGATTCTATCCCTCTGTTAATGCAGCCTAGCACTGTGTTGGCCTTTTTTGGCAGCTGCAGCACACTGCTGGCTCATATTTAGGTGATTGTCCACTAGGACTCCGAGGTCCCTCTCACAGTTACTACTATTGAGCAAGGTGCCACCTATGCTGTACTTGTGCATTTGGTTTTTCTTGCCTAAATGTAGAACCTTGCTTTTTTCACCATTGAATTTCATTTGTTTTGCTAGTGTTGGTTCCCGACTGATCCTTTGTTCAAACCAACTTCTGATAAACCATTTTTGGAATGTTGAGTCCTGATTGGTTCTTTGTTTGTGCTGGCTTCTGGTTTGTTAGTCCTGATTGGGACCTTCTTCAGAAAAATATCTGATTTTAACATTTTGGGAAGTTGATTCTTGCTTAGTCCTGCTTTGGGGAGGATCTTGTCATGACACAGGACAAATAACCAGGCTTTGTTAACTTTCAGACTTTCTTCTTTCTCGATGAAGCTGTTGGGATGTTTATAGATCTCAATAGCCTCTCTATTGAGAGGTGTATATAATAGTCTGAAGTTATTGACAGCACTTGCATGTCTTTGAACTGAATTTTATTATCTTTATGACACAATGCATGTTCTGCTACTGATAGCTTTTTTGGACTGTCCCTTGTCTGCAGTGCTTCTCATGCATTTTGTGGTACCAATGTATATCTGTCCACAGCTAGAGGATGCAGTAGATACAGAATGCTGTGAAGAGTTCTCTGCTGTCCTTGGCTGACTGAATGATTTTCTGATTTTCTTAATTGGCCTGTACTTTTCTAATAATTTACCTGTTTGGTCAGCAACCTTATTTATTTATTTACCTTTCACATTTCTGTACTGCCCATCTCCCTCAAAGAGGGACTCTGGGCGGCGTGTGCAGTAAAATACTAAAATATAAAACAGTATATATAAAAGTTTAAAAAAAAATTAAGAGGAGGCCAGAGATTAAAATTAGTTAAAAGCAAAGGGAGGGCTTTCAGGGAAGTAACTATACCCATGGCTATTTGCTTCCGTGGGCTCCCCATGTGAGGTTGCAGAGCCAAGTCTTAACTCCTTTTCAGAAGGCCAGGAGGTCAGGGGTGCTGCCTCACCTCCAGGGGAAAAGTATTTCATAGAGCAGGGGCAACAGCAGGAAACAAAAGGCTCTCTTCCTAGACCCTGCCAGTTTGAGTTCTTTAACTGACGGGGTCTGCAATATATACTGCTCAAAAAAATAAAGGGAACGCAAACCCCTTTAGTTCCATGGTAAAATGTTCCCTTTATTTTTGTGAGCAGTATATTTTCCCTGCCTGATCTGATGGAATGGGCTAATGTAATAGGGCAATGATAGTTCCATAGGTAGCCAAGTCCCATTCCATGTAAGGCTTTGTAGGTCAAAATTAACATCTTGAATTGGACTCAGAAGCAAACTGGCACCCAATGCAGCTCACTGAGCAGAGGTGTTACATCCGCCCTTCTAAAATTTGGGTGCCTAAAATTACCTATATAACCGCTATCAGCTGAAGCTTCTGGATACTTTTCAAGGGTAGCCCCATGTAGAGAGCACCACAACAGTCCAAATGGGAGATGACCAGAGCACGAGTGACTTAGCGAAGAGCCTCCCTATCCAGGAAAGGGAATAACTGGCACACAACACAAAATTGAATGAAGGCCTCCCTAGCCATGAGTGCCATTTGCTCTTCAAGCAGGAGCCATGCGTCTGGAGGATCCCAAGATTATGCACCAGGGCTGTCTGGCAATAGTGCAACTCCATTCAAGACCCAAAATAATAAACTCCTGGATACAGAGAGGCTCACCCACAGGCACTCCATCTTACCAGGGTTCAGCTAAATATGTTGTTCTCCATTCAGGCCCCCACAGCTTTCCATGCACCACAGAAGAACGTCCACTGCATCACTCACTTCACCTGGGACAGAGATGTATAACCTACCTTCTCTATGTAGGAGAGAAATACCCTTCCTATTTGTAGTGGTTTGTTCACAGATGTATCTACTAAACACAGATGCTGGCCGTGAAAACTTACACCTATATGTAGATTACACTCATGTTGTAATAAACCATCAGCTCTCTAAACGTCACTCTGGATAATTTTTAAGTAGAAAAATATTTTAAACTATAGTTTAAAATGAATATGTCATGCTCCTTTGCTGTAGGATATAAACAACTACTCTTCTAAAATTGAAGACATATTTATAGTCACTTTTCTGATTATGTAAACTTCTAATTGTTTTTAAGTAACAAATCTTTTTACAGTTTAAGGCGAAGACTGGCAGCAACTGACATATATGTGTGTGTGTGTGTGTGTGTGTGTGTATGTATGTATGTATGTATGTATATGTAATGATATTTAGAATTTATGACTAGCTTATATCCTCAGCTCATTTATACTTTCAAGTTTATTCCCACTGATAATCTCCCTTCATTTTTTTTTTTATCCTGGCTTCTATCTTGTGGAATAAAACATTCCTGTTTCCCACCCCATATGACTCACCTGACGGATTCCACCTAGCTTGGCTCACCAAATGATCCTCTGTCATACTGAAGTCCTGATGTTGATCAGCCATCCTGTCACAAAGATCACCTTGAAAAACAAAAAAGAGATAGAGAGAGTTTAAAACAAAAATACTAACTTTGTTGGATAGCATCTACTTTAGGCTTTATAATACAAGTGGTATTCTCCAAGTGACCACTCATTCAACAACTGTTCCAAGCTTAAAATGGCACTAAGCAGGGAGACTTACAACTGGTCCTTATGTCACAATGTTCCCATGGTCACAGGATCACGATTCAGGCACATGGCGATTGGCTTGCACTTATGATGGCTGCAGTAGCCCAGTCACACACATTTGCCACCTTCCTTGCCAGTTTTCCACAAACAGAATCAGCAGGGAAGGTCACAAGTTGCCACTGCTCCTGCCAGTTTTTCTCCAGAGGAATCCCCAGGCTGCAGGGTGCGTGGGGGCCCTGGGCTCACCTGTCCTCCTACCACATCGTGCAGCCCCCACTTCCCCACCCACACTTATGCTAGGCCACCCACTCCTCTGCTCCTCATAGAAGACAAAATAATTATTTTTTGAATAGTCTGTTAACCTAGTTGCCCAATTAATAGATTACTGCAAAGAAAAACAGAGTGAAAGAAATTTAAAACATCCAACTTAAACTTTACAAATTTCCTTTCATCACAATAACCCAAAACAGGGTGATAAATCCCTTTTTTTCCACAGCAGCATTCCTCCAGGGAATGTAAGGTGCATGGTGAACCCAGATGAAGCAACAGTCAAAAAATGCTGGAACCATCCATTTTCTTTCTGAGACCTCCTTTATTATCTTTACCATCTTTCTCTCTCTCTCTCAAACATCATGTTGAAGAGAAGGAACTGATAGTTCCCATAGGATATCTAAATTATTTGTTGCAAAGGATTAAGAAAAATGTGAAAATAGCCTATAAATTCATTCCAGACATAAAAACAGCTGCCCCAAGCCACCCAGAATGACTTTGTAGGAGAGATGGATGGCATAAAAAGTTAACAAATAAATAAAAGCTGTTTGGTTAGCTAGAATCTGCTAGATTACAAGACTCTTCAATCTGTCGCATTTGTTTTCTCTATTTTAAACATCATTCTATGCATTTAAATATATTGTCTTTTAAAGTAAATTTATCCCAGACACGACAAAATGCCTTCTTGACTATATACTAAACATTACTAATGTTTGTATTAATTTACTTTTTTCAGGGGAAAAAAAACTCCCGTAGAATTGCACTTGATTTACAGGAATTCCTTGCTTAATGACCCCAGTTGGGATCGGAATTTCCATTGCTAAACGAAGCAGTCATTAGGCAAAAAATCATGTGACCACATGCTCAGCAATGGCAGTTCAATAGTCCTCACTGCAGTCATTAGGTGAGAACCTGATATTGCTTCTGCCCTGGGCAAACTGCCTGCTCTGTCCCACTGCTCCCTCCTAACCCAAAACCGATTAGTTTCCTTTGGCAGATGAGACTGTGCTGCCCCACTGCACTCACCTCTGACTCAGTTCCCCACTTATCTCCTTCCCATTTCTGCCCTTTTAGCCATCCTGCACTCTGCTGCTGCCATATACCCAGAACCACCTCGAGCTGACCTTCGCCATCTTCTCCTGCTGCTGTTGCTGCTGCTGGACATTTGCGACACCTTCCCAAAGTGCAAGCAGCTGCCTCAGCTGGATACATCTCATCAGAAGCAGGAGGAAGATGGCAAACGTCACCTGGGGGCATTGGTGGGGGTGGCAGAACACAAGCCATGTGAAGGGTTCAGCAGCTGCCTCAGCCACACACCCCTCATCACCAGTGGGAGGGGGAAAAGATGGGGAAGACCAACAGGAGGCGGCAAGGGCAGTGGACTGCAGGTGGCCAAAAGGGGCAGAGATGGGAGGAGGTAGGCAAGGGGGACTTGAAGACTATGCTGTGGTTGTAAATGCAGGCAGGCTGCTAAATGCCTGAGTTGTGCACCCATGACGAAGGGGTGCTGCAACGGCCATAACTTCAAGGACCAGTTGTAACTAGCATTCTTTCAGCACCATTGTAACTCTGAACAGTCACTGAATGACCATTAAGTGAGGATAACCTGTAACAAGATTTATAGATTAGAAACAGACTTTTATACTTAAAACAAGCCAGTGTAAAAATATTTATCACAGATTTAAATTGGCCCTCTTTATCCTATTTTTAAATGGCATGATATTTGACATCAAAGATTTTGTAACTTATCAGGTGGAAATAAACAAGCCTCAGCATATACTGCCCAGTAGAGTGTTTCCTAATCTCTAGAAACTTTGCCCTATATGAGATTATATGGCACACTATATAAAATAAACTATGATCTTAATGGACAGTCACAAGCTGCAATTCTTGTATGCCCTGAGGCATGACATATAACTTGTCCACAAAAAGGCAATATAAGAATTAATTCACTTTTACCCTAGTACTTCTTTGTTTCCCATTATGGATATCTGGTCAGCAATAATAATTCAGAAAGACATGCCACCTTTGGGATGGTGAAAGCAATTAATAGCACCACCATTTGCATTTTATGGTCCTTGTAAATAGATATCTCAGATTGATTTATCATTGTGAAATAGTACGGTAGACAGTTTTTCCATTCTCCCTTTCGCCACAAAGTAAAGTCTTGAAGAAGCATGTAAGTTGCTTCATAAGGAGTCATGAGTCATAGGGAGAACTACTGAATGTCACAAGGATTGGTTGAATATGATTGATGCCTCACTGTCCCCACTGAGCCATTTTGTAAACTTGTAAAAAGGTTCTGTTATTGTGTTTTAAAACATTTATATATGCTACCTCTTCTGCTAATAGTAAATTCACATCTCCCAAAGAAGCTATTGATGTTCTGTCCCCCATTCCCCACATTATCTAAAAAAGCACTATGCCCCCCTTTAACTTATTAAAAAAAATCATTTTTCTTGCCCTCTCAAAATCTTTGGAAAATAATACTTTGGGTCACTGCCTGCAATATACATATTAAGGTTCCTGATGTATAGATGTAACCATAAATTTAAGTAACTACAAAAACTTTTTTAAAATGCTTAAGTAGGAGAGGAGAATATTTGTCTAATCTATTTATCAAATGTCTGGGTGGTGAAAGTTCTCTACCTTGTCATCCACAGCCAGATCTTTCCAGTTTAAAGTGATAAGGGCTCTTTAGAGTTTATCTATAACCACCCTCTTTCTCACATTGCTTCCAGACCAATGTTATCTTGCAAAAAGTCTTGGATGTTATTCTTTGGATAATTTCCCAGTCAGCAAGAACTCTATAAGAAAACTATTCTCCAGGAACCTCATGTTTCTGCCCATTGTCAGCCCTCCAAAGTAAACCAGACAGGAAATGGGACTAGATGAACTAATTCCTCTTTATTGTAAAGCTACATTACCAGAATCTTGCAAGTCTGAAAGTACAGACTTCCCACACAACAATTTTAACTTCCTGGTCCATTAGGATTGGTCCTTTTTCAATTTCTTTTTTGTGATTGTTAAGCGATTCATGCCCTTCTTGACTGATTGTTTTCTAGGTAGCATCTTTCTTCTTTTAGCTCAAGGCTACCCATGCATTCTATTAGACCAGGGATGGGGAACTATGGCCCTTTTGTGACTTGTAGACTTCAACTCCCAGAATTCCTGAGCCAGCCATGTTGCGAATTCTAGGAACAGACATCCACAAGGGGTATAAAAGGGTGATGGCTATAGTTCCCCCACCTCTGCATTAGACCAATAAACAACAGTTGAGGATTCTTGTTGTGGGAAATCCCAGGTAAACATTTCAAGTTTCCACTGATAAAAAAGCTACTTATTTTTGATAAAACCCAAAGAAGAGATAGATAAGGTTAGTCCCTATCCCACACCTACTTGTGCTTTTGGTGATGTATGGTTGTCTACAGCTTACTTTGGATTTATTTATTTGTCCCCACAGCAAGTAGCAGCTTCCCTCTTGCTTCAGAAGTTAAGCAAGATTAGCTAGGCTTACAGGTTAGATTGGGAAGCCCAAAACATCCTGGAAGAAAGTAATGATAAACCCCTGCCTATTGCTGCCAAGAAAAATATATGGACATGTTCATGAAGCTACGATGGGTAGCTTGAAACTGTCTTGAAACTGTCTTTACTATTACCTTTTGAGAATATATAGATTTGCTAGAATGAGAGAAAGGAATATTAAGACGATATTCCAGGGGGTGCGAAAACTTGGGATTTCAAAATTATAGTGTATATGCATAATTTGTTGCCATTATTTCAAAGTTTTTTTATAGTGTTTTATTGATTTTCTAATTTTACATTTAAGTATTTAAAAAGCAATGTGGCGGCTGATAATTAATCGATAATTCAATGTCATACAAGTATCTTTAGTACAAGTCTCAAACTACCACATTAAATATTTCCTCTCTTTTCCCCTTAGTATTTACTGTCTCATGTTTAAACTAATACAATTCTTATTACATCAATTAAATAAAAATAACATTCTTACATTTATCAATAATTTTTAGCTTATACATATCCTGGTTATTTTAACATTCAGTCTTTATAGACAATCAATGTCCTAATTAGTTTTTCCCAATTTTTAGTTTCCCATTAATATTTAAATTTAACATTTAATATTTATAATTTCCAAGTTTTAAGTAACCAAAGTTCCCTTTATCACAATTCATCACAAAATCTAATATTCAGGATACATGGCTTATCTATTTGAATATATTCTATTTCTCACCATCTAATTAATAATACAGTATAACTTTATTTTCTATTAATTTCCAAATGTCTTGAATTTAGTAACCAAAATTTCTTGTTTCAACATCAAATATTTCCTCTTTTTCTATTATTATTATTATTATTATTATTATTATTATTATTATTATTATTATTATTATTATTATTATTATTATTATTATTATTATTATTACTATTATTATTTATTAAATTTATATACCGCCCTATCTCCCTTACGGGACTCAGGGCGGTGAACAGGCGATACTAAAAACCACGATAATAAATAGTTTCTGTTCTAAAATCGAATTAAATAACAGGCCTGTT